TGCCGAGTTTATAGAGGCACCACACTCTATAAGGATATTTGCTGCATTTAGTCTTCCAGTTGTCACCATTTTGTGTATGATTTTAGCACCAGTTTTAATAGAGCTAGATTCATTCACGTCAGCACCATATTGAATGAAATATTTTGCGGTATCCAGGTTGTTGTGAAGAAAAGCAGTCTGTAGTGGGGTAGCACCATCATTGTCATGTACATTTATTTCTATCCCCGGTTCCAGAATCATCTCTAAAATCGTCTGCCTATGCCATCTAGCAATGAAGTGTAGTGCTGTAGTTCCATCCGATGTGATGGTTGTGCTTATGTCTGGTCGAAGCTTCTTGTACTTGTTCAGGACTTTCTGAATTTCCTCAATATCTCCAAGAGTAATGGCTTTCACTAATTCACTAGCAGCTTTCTCCAGGAGCTTAAAATTCTTCATTCTAAATGTCATTGTCTTATAAATATTGAAAAAAAAATTTCCTCTTCAAATTTGTTCCTATTATACACAATCTTTTTGAAGTTTATCTTAGCTGCTTTCCATCAGGATAAATCATTATACCTGCTGGAGACCATCCTCCTTGGTTCTTTGTTAAAACTGTTCTGGCTTGGGATGTTTTGCAGAATTACTTTTTGACATGGTAAAAACTGGTCACTAGAGAGCACTTTCCACTTGATTCAAGTTGCTTTGTCAACATGTAAATGTAAGTTGTCAGATTTTAACATTGAGTCATCATCGCAAATATATACACACTTTCATCTGTAATCTTTTCGTCTCTACTTTTAAAGCGCTCAATCCTAGAATTAATGGTAAATAAAAAGTTTATTTGCTTCCTGAAGTTTGTTGTCCTAACGTCAACGTAAAATTTAAAAATCTCCTCCACTGAAAATATTTAAACATCATAAATTTTTAAAACAAGTGCCCTTTTAATAGGCACCGGTGTTGTTTTCCATCAGACCTAGTTCCTGTGTGCTGAAGAGGCCTTTTCTGAAGTTTCCACATATTGTGTGCAAATGAAAAACTGAACGTTCACCATAAATATGCATATTGTACTTCGAACGACATTTAAATTCTCTGTTTATTCTCACTGATCAATAAGGTGAGTTTAATCCAAGGCAAAGACAGGGATTTCACTGTATTTCCGACAAATACAAACCCTTTATCTACCAATGGCAATTCATTGATCGCACAAAGTCTTTTTTCATTTCAATAAAAAAGTATCAATTTCATTTGCTTGCATTTTCTGTAGCCATTGATAGCTGAATATTTTTGATGTTTGTCCCTTCTCCACTGCCGTAAGTGGTTCAACACATTTCATAACTACGTTTATCGTGAGTAAAGTCATTCACACTATTCTAAAGTTTACCACCTCGAATAATATGAAATATTGAACTTGATTGTCGGTTTAGACACAAGTATTTAATGGCATTATCTGACTAATAAGATTTAATATTAAACACCGAGTACACAGTTTTGATTAAGGATCAAAGGTATTATCATTGACGGGAATCAGATTTAGGAGGTACAAGCGTGGCGCATTGTTTAGTTATCTGCTATCTGTTTCCGTTAGTTACAGGATAGTAAAGTGACATAGAGATGAGCTGTATAATTAAACATTCATTTCGTATATCAAATGTCACGCAAATTCCAAATTTAGTTTTCAGAGGCATTTGAAAATTTTTTCCTCTAAGGCGTCATAAGAGAGAAGAATTCTTTGAACTCTTTTATGAAGACAAAATAATGTGAATTTTTTATGAAATCTGAATTTAAATGAATCTTTTGTCAACTTTAAGCTTTAAAGGGTCTTTACAAAGAATTCACATTTAGGTAATTTAAGTAGAAGTCAAAATTGATAAATGATAAGTTTTACTGACATTTTTTCGCTTTTTCATTTACACTTTATAAAAATTTAAAAGCTTTAAATTTGAAAGAAAGAAAAGCCTCTTGTTTTCTTAATGCAGCTGAATTGCTTTGTGAACCATACATATGTATTTTACAACACTTCAACTATTTGATTTGACCCTGAGAAAAATGTGTGTAAAATATATTCACTTAGCAGGCAAAAGATCTTCAAACATCTTAACATTGTAAGGCATAAAAACAAATTATGTTGGCTTACCATCTTGAGTCAAAAAATGAATTGCAAAAAGTTTCAGTGTTTTTATTAAAATGCAATCAGAAAATGGTACATGAAATATATGGAGATAACAAACAGTATTAAACAATACAAAATAGTAGCAGAGCAGGTGGGATCATGTGCCATGGAGGAGTGAGCATCCCATGTCAACCAGTACTTTTCTAACAATTGTTTTCGAAGCATCTGCAAATAAAAGAATGTTTCAAAACTTAGAATTAGTGATATTTTTTAAAATCATCTGTTGTTAGAGATTTTGATATGAAACTGCAAGTTATATATTATACAATGTACATTAAAGAACCTTGTCCTTTAGCTAGAACAAAAGTGACTAAGGGTTAAACTTTAAATTCTCCTCTTAAAATATAGATATTGATTTGTTTTAATAAAAACAATTTCTGTTGTAATGTCAAACAAGTGGTCAGTTAGAGTTCTTTGTAATCGTTAATCTGTGTTTGCCTAAGTTCAACATAGGTTGGCCACTCAAGTGAAGAACCATTCAACTTAAATGTTAGTACTAATTAACCAAATATTTGTTCATTATACATCAAGTTTATTACTTTCTAATCCTATCTTATCTAGAATAATACTTGAAGTTTCTGATAAAATGGAAAATGTTGTAGCTGTGTATTCATGAATCCCGCCAATTGCGATTCTGTGTGTTTAATGACCTACCTCCTATTTACACATGCTTAAATCTTATCACTTGTCAAAAACTGTCATTTATATAAAATAATGAAAATTAGTCAGTCCTTTACTTCATACATAGAAGGCTAATATATTTTTTTTCATTAAATCTAGCATGTGGAAAACTTGCATTACGATATTTGCATATATATGTAGAAGGCTAATATATTTTTAGCTCACCTGAGCCGAAGGCTCAAGTGAGCTTTTCTGATCACATTTTGTCCGTCGTCCGTCCGTCCGTCTGTCCGTCTGTCCGTCCGTCCGTCTGTCTGTCTGTCCGTCCGTCTGTAAACTTTTCACATTTTCGACTTCTTCTCAAGAACCACTGGGCCAATTTTAACCAAATTTGGTACAAAGCATCCTTGGGTGAAGGGGAATTTAAATTGTTAAAATGAAGGGACATATCCCCTCGCAAGGGGAGATAATCAAGAAAAGAGAAAAATAGGGTTGGGTCATTAAAAAATCTTCTTCTCAAGAACCACTGGGCCAGTAAAGCTGAAACTTATGTGGAAGCATCCTGGTGTAGTGTAGATTCTAAATTGTTCAAATCATGACCCCCGGGGGAAGGGCGGGGCCGCAATGGGGAATCAAAGTTTTATATAGAAATATATAGGAAAAATCTTTGAAAATCTTCTTCTCAAGAACCACTGGGCCAGAAAAGCTGAAACTTATGTGGAAGCATCCTGGTATAGTGTAGATATTCTAAATTGTTCACATCATGACCCCCGGGAGAAGGGCGGGGCCACAATGGGGATCCAAGTTTTACATAGAAATATATAGGAAAAATCTTTGAAAATCTTCTTCTCAAGAATTACTGGGCCAGAAAAGCTGAAACTTATGTGGAAGTATCCTGGTATAATGTAGATTCTAAATTGTTCAAATAATGCCCCCCAGGGGAAGGGCGGGGCCACAATGGGGAATCAAAGTTTTAGATAGAAATATGTAGGAAAAATCTTTGAAAATCTTCTTCTCAGGAACCACTGGGCCAAAAAAGCTGATCATGGGGTAGTGTAGATTTCAAAATGTCTGAATTATGATCAGTGGGGTAGGGTGGGGATGCATTATGTATAACAAGGGGGAAATCTGGTAAAGAACAGAATGGTCAAAGCTTCTCAGGTGAGCGATGTGGCCCATGGGCCTCTTGTTTTTCATTAAATCCAGCATGTGGAAAACTTGCATTAAGATATTTGCATATATATATATGCATGGATCTTTTCACTAAATATTTCTTACAACTGAGATAATTTTTTTTTCAATTCTCCAAAATTACTTCAATTATAGTTGGTCACTAAAAATGTTAGAAATACAATTTACTGTAATTTAATCCTGAAAAAAATTATTCTCTGATTGAGTGAAGAAGTAAGTAATTTTGCATTTGTTGTAAAATTTTAATTTTAATATAGATAAATAAGAATTTTTTTTAAAAGGACTATTGATTGATTGAACCTGAAAGTCACTGTTGAATTGTAAAAATGTTTTTCACTTATCAGTTGGCTCGTAATAATGGTAGTGGTTGTATTTAGTTTTCCTATTTTATAATCGAAGACAATCTAGAATATCCCTATGCTAAACTGTTTTTATGTTTATTTTATGGCTTGGTATTGTAAAATTGAATGTCTTTGAGAGTTTTATGCCATTTTTATGCCCGATATTGCATCAGGTAGTCATTATGTTCTTCATTTTCTGCTCTTTACTTCCTTGGCAACTTATGGTTCATGGCTAAACAGTTACTCTTATACCACATTTTTCAATTGACGTGTAGTCTCTTGCATGGCTACCTATACTTGTATGGCAGTTTAGTGTAAGTGGTATATCTGCAGCAGAAAAAAAACTAACTCCCTGGCTCCATTTAAAAGGATCTGTCATTTTAGCTGCACTGATATGCACATGAAATACAGCACTATATATATTCAAATAAAATGGTGTGCAGATTTAAAGTGTAAAGTATTAATAATTAGTAATTATTTTATCAATGTTATATCCACTATGTCCATGAAGAACATGCCAATACTTGAGCATGACCAATATTTTATCATTCAATTTTTGACTGGGCTGTGCTATAGACGACAGCTAAAGATATACACTACCCGAAGAATGTGTCATGTTGGCCTATCAGACTTTGAGTTCCCTGTGAAGAATAGCCAATGATTGATGGCTACTAACTCTTGTACTTTTCCTATTGTAGGACAATGAACAAGCTCCTTCTGCCGAGGGGGGACAAGAGGAGGCCAGGGAACACTTTCAAAGGTAAGAGACAGATTTACACTGTAATCGAGGGCCCTAGGTCCGGGCTCGCTCGTCAAACCAGCCATCCAGCTGATGAAGTGCTACTAAAGAGGCTCTGTCATCTCCACAGTGACATATTGCTGTAATATTCCAAAAGTACACAGTCCTATCAGCTTTAACACTCTTTGCCGAGTGATAAAGCACCATAATACTCGAGGGTTTCAAGGTATTTATGTCCTCTCCACCTTGATATTTTTTTTTCAGAATCGTTATTGTTTATCAGTTCTTTTGGGTAAAGTGTCAAATTAATAAATGTTTAACTGTGAGGATCATTAAGAAGTGATTTGTACTGAAATCTTGTTGGTTGTAAGGTAGTACTAAACATCCCAGTGAGAAAAGAGGTGTTAAAGAGGTTCAAGGGCAAAATGAGACATTAAAACTGAACAAACTTAAATGTTAACTTTGTATTTGGTTTGCATGAATTAAATTAATATGTATTTTAGGTCCTATTTGAAGATTTCATGAATGCAATCAACAAAAAAGATCCAGAATTCATACTAGTATTCAAAACCAGAAATAGTCTACATTTATTGATAATGCCCCTACTCATGTTGCTATATGGATACTTTACAAAGTTCACCATTGAAACACAATTATGAGGAGAAAATCTGTAATAAAATAATGGTTTTTATTTTATGTTACTATTTTTTTTTTACTTTTAATTTGATCACCTTGTATTTCATATTTCCCATAACAAAATGTAGTAGCTTCTTGTCCATTCACATTAAATGGAATCAATTTAGATTCATCAATTGCAAAATGCATTTAGATTCACGTAATGAAGATAGACAGTTACAATTGAAACATCCATTAATGTACCATCATTTGCCAACCTTGCATATATTTCTTCTGCCATCCATGACATGATCGATATTCCTAGAGTAATTTTATCTTTTTTAGTGGAAAAGAAGCAGATACCAGTGCAGAAGAACAGGTGCCCAAAAGTGAAGTTAAATCAGAGGAATCCTCAGGACACCCCCACCCCAGGGACCCCGATATCCCACCTGAGGGAGCCGTGAAAAAACAGACGTCAGAGGAGGCGCTGGCAGTCACAGGCCTGACCCTGAAGATGCAGAATTCAGGGGACGTCCAAGAGACACCCAGAACCAGTGGGGAGACAACAAGTCGTAGTGAGGTCAAGGGGTCAGGAGGTCAAGGGACAAATACCAGCCGACAGACCACACCTAGGAGTGGACAGAGACCTACTTCAGGGTTTGTTATAGGCTAGAGAAAATAATGCTGTGAATTCATGTTGCTACAGTGTGTGATACAGATAAAATGTTATGGCATTTTTCAAGAAAAGTGTATAACATATATGTTGAATAGAATGTTTTTCAAGTGTATCATTTATTAACAAATGAGAAGCATCATGTAACAAATCTATCAGTTTTATATGTTATAAGACAGATAATGAACATTTCTTCGGAAATTAATTTCTCTTTGTGCATTACAGAAAGAAGAATGTGAACACCCGACCATACAGTGCAGTGGATGCTTACAGGTATATTGTAGCTCATCCCAAGAAACCCAGTGTGGAGACCGGTTACAACACATCATACCAAAGACAGAGAACAGAGGCCTGGAAACAGACAACAGGAAAACAATCTACAAGTAATGCCATTATAGTAGTTCTTTTTATTGCAGTGTTGCTAGGGCAGTAATATGCACTTGTTGTACAGGTGTGATATGCATGGGTATTGAGTCATTTTATCATTTTGTTTTTGAAATCAATGTTAGATAACTCTTTTTCACTAGGTTTCTTGAATTTAAATGTACAAGTATTACCATTCATTGTATTTACGGTAATTTTCCCTTTTGCAAGGGAAAGCACTTACATTTTCAATTACCTGCATTAAGAAGTAATATACCTCTAAAGATTAATGATATGAAAAGGGTGTCCTCATGAAACAGATGTCAATTAAGCTTTATGATGTTAAAGGGAAGAGATGTATTTTGTATTTTACACAGTGGAGGACGTTATAAAGGTTTCTGTGGTACCTGTTGTATCTAAATCAGAAGGTAATCTCACTCTTGTGGGCGTGGCTATCCTCCATCTTGGAGGTTCAACCTTAACTATGCAGATTTTCTCTTAATACACGAGAATCAATGGCTTTTTTTCTCTTATTTAATAAATTTACCAATATACATGTTTTTATATATATTTTTGCACAGCAATTGTATTCAGTTTTAATTTTTTTTTTTTAAAAAGCTTATCTTCATTTCACATATACTTGTCACATATTCACATAATTATAAATAGCATAATACACAATCACTGCTGGCTTAAAATAATTCAATCATTATGAAAATTATGCTTCAATATTGATGTTTTTATTTATTTATTTGAATTATGTTTGTGTGCAATTTTGTGACACCTGTTCTTTTTAAGACACCTGCACAGAACTTAGCAATCCTATGGATGTGGTGATGATGCAGAGACAAGGTGATCGTAATGTCCCCAGGATTCAGTCTTCTCTCAGTCTCTTTTAATTTTTCATTGTTTTAACCAGATTTATATTGCTTTTATCACTATAATACTGTCCATTCCTCAGGTTCCAAATGTCAGCAGATAAGTAATTGATATCACAGAATTAACAAAGTAATGTACATGAAGTAAATACGTCAGAATTACTGAAATTTCAATGTGCATCTATAAAGGGAAGATATCAAATCTTATATTAACAGAAACTTTGATATAAGCACCAATAATGCATTTTCTATCCAAAAATTGATAAACAAGTATTTTAGTTCTTCTCTTACATGAACTTTCAGTCATTATATAATACAAAGTTTAAAAACCATGTGATATTAATGCAAAATATTACAATCTACTTTGATTTGTATTTTATGCATATGAACATTGAAATACAAGGGCTATTTAAGATTAACGAAATTCATTTTCTCTAAAAAGATTTTTTTTGTACTGTTACAGCTACATTTTAAGGTGAAAATGTCATTCTTTACAAGACAATTTCTAATTAAGACTTCAAAGAGCCTTAAATTATAAATTAAGGAGCATGGAAATTGTTAATCAGTAAAAATCCAATTTCAAGATTCAATTTAAGTTCTATTTGATCAAATAAATGATAATTGATTTCTGCTGAGGAATGGATCTCCTTAATACAATATTTAAAGGTCCAAGGCTCAGTCCATATTATCCAAGACATAAATTGTATGATTTTCCAGTGTTCTTTCTTTCCGTTTCCTTATGTGTGAGGTTTTCTTTATCAGTCCAATCTTTAAAGGCTTTTCTTTGTCACTTCAGTTTCACTACAATATACAATTATATTGTGAACAAGGATATTTTTGTTAATTACATGGATTAGAAACAAGGAAAATAAAAGGGTAATTTCTGTGATACTAATTTTTATATACACTGTATTGTGAAAAAAAATTGTTTAAAGGGGGTATCTGTATGAAAGCTTAATTGCATATATAGAACATAAACTATTCCCACATAGTATTTTTCCAAGTTTACAATTTATCGAACCATGTATATATGTAATATGTAAGTTGTGACATTGTAGTAGGTTGATCATGGTTGAGTTGCTATGCATTTTAATAACAATGACAAATAAAGCCACAAAACATGGCTAAAACATTTCATTGTCTTCTTTGTTACCATGTTTTTGTTTTTCAGAGTACAATAAGGAAAAACAGCTTTTTTCATATCAATTTGGAATTTTAGTTTTGACCCTAATGTCAGATTTTTATTCCCTTTCCACAATATTCAGAATTAATTCAGACAAATTCTGTTCATTTTACAGGAAGGAGAAAGTCTCCCCCACCCCAGAGACCATCTTCTCCTGCTGCCATTATCAGAATCCAGTCAGCCAATCAGGACAGCCCTACTAAAAGACCATCCAGTGCACTTCATGTCAAGGTGGGCTCTGATTGGCTAGCTGGAGGTCGTGATCTTTTCTGGGAAAATGTTCAAAGGAGGCCAAGGTCAGGACATGTACCAGGGTGGAAGGAAGGACTTCCTGAAAGCATGAAAAGACCTAGATCAGCTGTAGCTAACAGAACCCTGAGGTAAATAACAATCATAACACATTGTTTAATCAAACTCTGACTTTAAAAGATTATTGCTTCTGTAATTTGGTACTTACCATATGATGATTGAAATTAATATGTTCAGTTTCTTTGTTTGTTATGCTGGTAACAGTCAAAATTTTAAGCTAAGTTTTTCTTGAAAATTATAGTCTTGCATTCATATTTGAAAACTGTTTTAACATGCAATATCTACACATGCAATATTACTCTGTTGATTTTTTTTCTGGCCTGGTTTTTACAGGAGATCCCGAGCCTCCACCCCAGTCACTCCCTCCTCCTTGTTGTATGAAAGCATGCTTCATGGTGAGTATTATATTCTAGGGAGTCAAGTTCAGTCATGCATTTTTCAGATTTCATTAATTATATTCAAAAATTTATATGGACATATTTACCAGCAACCCTTGAAGATTACAAAGTTGTGCCAATTCCGTTCCGTGCGGGTATATATCTATTTATGTAGTATTGTATTGCACAGTAATGATTTTCCAATCACGGCTTTGTCTGGGTATTGCACAAAAGTGCACAAATGAGTAGGTGAAAACAAGTAATTTTTATTAAAGAATTTTTTTGTAGTAATAAGTTTTTTTAATGAAATATAATTGGCAGAGTTGTCTATCCTTGAAATTTTTTTTTAATGTCTGAATATCAGGCTTAAATCTTTTTCACTTACTTCTTCCACAGAGCGAGTATGAGTATGCTATTTTCAAACAAACTGATAATGTTCTAGGCCATTGCAGTTCAATATTTTAATAGTAAATCTACAAAAAAATTCTGAAATACTTTATAAGTATGTCAAATTTAAAACAAAAAACTGAAAAGAACTATAAATACTAAACCCACAAAATGTCAGATTGATATATGCAACCCTAATTTTAGACTGAATATCCACAGGTTTTATTTAATATGTAACTGGGTTTTGTGTACTGTACGTGTGTTTATTTTTTTAAAATACACTTTAAATAAAAATTTACCTAATCTACAGGTCACGAACAGGTTTAGTTCAATCAAGAGTTACAGTAACTGGCACCATTTATGTTTAAATCAAAATTATACATGTGATTGTACATAAAGGGAGTGATCATAAATTACTGCCTTGTATAATTGATGTGAAAAGTGCAGAAGTAATAATCATGCAGATTCAAATACACATGTTAAATTTAAATGCCGTTTTTGGTTTCTTAGGTTACCCGACTCCTAATGGATCCCTCCCAGAACTAACTGACCTCTCTGACTACCCCCATCCATCGGGCAGTCACCGCTTACGCATGCTTGGTACCCCCCAGGGGGGACAAGCGGACTTTTACACAATTCCACCACACGATACTGTATATAGGTAGAGCTAGACCCAGATGCTAGCTTCAATGTTTAACATGTGAATGCTCTAAACTGAGTATGTGTGTATATTACAATGTATATGTTATCTGCATGGTCTTATTTTTATACATTGTGGAACTAACTTTTGCATTGTAATGAGGTGAATAATGTATTTCAGTGTTTCTAGTCATATGGTAGCGTCCTATGTACTTGCATGTCCCCATTGTTGCTCAACTAACTTATACTGATGTGATATTCTACAAGGTGCATCTTGATTAGTGCCAAAAATTCTCAACAGAAACATATTATCAATATTTTAGTACAATACCTGTTATGAACCTCTACTACACTGTGATAATACTGAAAATCCTATATATTTATTACACATTCCATAAACTGCTGATCAGTGTTATATTTTACTTTTTAGTAGATGTACTCCTTTATAGAGGGTTTAATAAGTCTTTTGTGTTTGTATTTTAAAATTCTTTTCTTGTTATTGTTAATAGAACCCTCAGTGAAAAAAGTAAGACCTTTACAAAGTAGAAAAATGTAGAAATTTAGATTTAAGCTACATAATAGAGAGGAAATGTTGTAGTGATTGGCTTAGCAATTTTACATAGTTTTACATAGAATTAAACTAGCCAATTGCAAATTCTGTTATGTTGTTGTCAGGCAGAAATAGTGTCCAATCAGATTCAGGGTCACATTTCACTGACAGCATCATGTGACTGTTATGTGAGTGCTGTCTTAGTGGGTAGCTATTTGATGCATGAGTTGAGCTTGTGTCATTTATCCTTTCTGATGAGAGTTCTTCCTTATATTGCTATTGTGTGATGGTTTTGTGGATGGCTGCCTGGAACCTGTTTCCTGGGTGATGGAAAACTAGCATAATTTTTTTTTTCTCTGAACTTTCACTTTAACCTGAAATCCTCACTTATGGTTGCTTTGGGATGTGTGTTCTTGGAAAGGTAATATATATCTAATTTATTTTGATCTAATATCCCTTTTTGTAACAACAGAGTTTATTTCCAATGTACCAAATTTTCCAAATTAATTGAATATGCTTAATAATAAAGATCTTTATTTCTTACTTTTAGTAACTAAAAATTATTTCTCAGGTTTCAATTTTCTGTATCTTTTTTTCTGAATTTTCTATAATTCTCATTTCCCCTGATCCCCAAAAGTAATGAAAAAATTTACAAAATGATACTCTAAAATTGTTAAAATATGGATCTTTTTTACCTTTTTTTAGCTACAGCAACCCACCCTGCACACCTATGTCCACTAGTGCTAAGTTAAGCTTCATCAGTATGCAGTGTATTCCTGAGTCCTGGCCGGAGGAGCGGGTGGCTGGATACATTAACAGGCTGGAGGTCCACCATTGATAAGGGGGATCCATAAATACAGATATACATGTACAACGGACAAATAGCCAATCACAAGTTACCATCTTAAATAATTAGATCAAATTTAATTTTTTTAAGTAGCTTATTTACTTTTAAGATTGTTTTGATGGTAACTGTTTACAGGTTTATGTACATAAAAATATGTATATGCATACAAGTAAAATGAACTTCTTATTCATTAAAATTCTACATACAATTTATGAATTATTTAATCATGTCAAATTTTATTTTCATGTTTAATTTATGAAGATTGAAAATCTGTGATAAACCTATATCTTGTGATAATTTATATTGTGCAGTTTATGGGGTAAACATACACAAACTCTTAATTTTTTTTTGGATTTAATTGGTTAATATATACCCACTAGTTTATTGTAGAACAAGTTTGGAGCTGCTACATTAAAATGAATATTTTATCTATGAATTATTAAAGAACTGTTTGATATTAGCGTTGTTGGTTCTATAGTTAAAGTCTGTATAAAGTGTATTTCTATAAAATGAGAATGAATTTTACCAATTTATTCAGAAAATTTAGTCTCTTGCTTTAGCATCATTGAACTGTGCATTTGTACATATACTCTTCAAATGATTGGGGTATAATCTGTTTGAAGGTAACGGAATTTGTTTAGAAAAGAGATTTTTTTGTAGAAATTTTTAAAAATAAAGTTTGAAATTTTCTTGGATTCTTAAGTAAAGCTATTTGTAAGAACTAGGTGGTTGTGATTCTTGATCTTCCCAGATCTTATCAAATTGTAGTATGTTGCAATGCCTATTATTCATAAATTATCCAGAGTTTCAAAACTGTCCCTGATGTCTCTGGCATACCCAAGAAAAAGGGAAAAGATACTTTATGTTAACATTTATATACAAGATGTGTTTGTGAAAACACTGATGCCCATCTGATGGTACTTGAAGAAAGGTTCTTTCACAAGGAATACACCAGGTCCTGTAAAGTATGAAAGTCATAGCCCCACCTATTCAAATGTTATGACCAAGATTGAATATTTTGTGCACAAATGAACAAACAGAGCAAAAAACTATATATCCCCAAGTCTTCATTTACAAGGGCTAAACAAGATGTGTTTGTGAAACACTGATGCCCCCTTGTGGCAACATAGGGAAGATTAAACTTTTCTTAAATGCAAATTTAATATAAAGTACCCAAAGTAGGGTATTCTCGCTGGAAATACAATTGTGAAATATGAAAGTAGGCCAAGGTTTAAGTTTTTTTCATAAGTATGGAAATCTCCAAAGTCAAAATGTCAAGGTAATTGGTAATCAATGAAAGGTCTTGCCAGAAAGAATACATATGTGAAGTATGGAACCCATAGCCCTAACCCTCCAAAAGTTATGGCCAAGGTTATAAATATTAAAAAGTAGGTCAAGGTCAAAGGGTCAGAATTCTTGGTGTAAAATGAAGGGTCTTTGCACAAGGATGAAATATGAAAAGTATGAGAGCAGTAGCCCTAACCCTTCAAAAGTTATGGTCAAAGCCTGTTTTTTTTTAAGTAAGTCAAACATCAAGATCAAAGGGTCAAAGTTCTTGGTATCCAATGAAGGTTCTTTTCACAGGAATTAAGTATGTGAAGTATGAAAGCACTGGTCCTTAGCTTTCAAAAGTTATGACCAAGGTTAAAGTTTTTTTCATAAGTGCAGATCTCATCAAGGTCAAAAGATCAAAGTAATTTGTATCCAATGAAATCCAATGAAAGGTCTTACCACAAAGAATACATATGTGAAGTATGGAAACCCTAGCCCTAACTCTTCAAAAGTTATGACTAAGGTTAAAAATTAGGTCAAACTCCAAAGTCAAAGGGTCAAAGTTCTTGATATCAAATGAAAGGTCTTGTCACAAGGATTAAAAATTTAAAGTATGAAAGCACTAGCCCTAACCCTTTAAAAGCTATGATCAAGAATTTCTTTTTAAAAGTAGGTCAAACTCCAGGGTGAAATGGTCAAAGTTCTTGGTATCCAATGAAAGGTCTACTCACAAGGATTACATATGTGAAGTATGAAAGCACTAGCCCTTACCGTTCAAAAGTAATGGCCATGGTTAAAGTTATTTCATAAGTACAGAAATCGTCAAGGTCAAAAGGTCAAAGTTGTTTGTATCCAATAAAAGGTCTTTTCACAAAAAAATACATATATGAAGTATAAAAGTCCTTGTTTCTACTGTTCAAAAGATATGGCCAAAGTAAAAGTTTGGAATTTTTGTGTAAAAGTGGGTCAAACTCCAAGGTCAAATTTGGTGGTACCCAAAGAAAGGCCTTGTCACAAGGAATACAAATGTGAAATATGAAAGTCATAGCTCAACTAAATCAAAAGTTACGGGCAAGGTTAAAGGTACTTGGACACATATTTGAAGTCAATATTTTCTCTATATTATTACGACTTATATATTTTAATAGCATTTCACACAATAATTAATTAAAATCTTTTTTTCATTTATAAGTTATTAAAACTTCAAATTTTTTGGCGGGTTTGATTGACTCATCCTTGCACTTTCACAAGTTTTAACCTTATTCTTAATCCTTAGGAAAAGTGGCAATCTTGTTGTGTATTAATGAGAAATATTAAAACTTTTATCCAGAAAAATGATTTTATTCAGAGTAGAAATGTTAGAAAGCAAAACTCCTTCACAAGTATCGTTATTCCGAACTAAGAGTTGCGTACAGATTTTAGCAAATCGAGCACACTCGTGTTACGTATGTTCACAGTTTTTGTAAACAGGGCACGAGTTTTGTTATTGTTGATGTTTAGAATTCACCGGGTCCGTTCAGCCGTCACAGTCTGCTTACCACAACTGCATGGACTGCCAATATATTGTGTATTTGTTTTGCTTTCGAACAAACATGTGTACTCTAAATTTTCTGCATTATAGTATTAATATTTTTCATTTATACACAACGAGATTGCCACTTTTCTAAGGATTGAGAATAAAATTAATTTGTGAAAGTGCAAGGATGTGTCAATCAAACCCGCCAAAAAATTTGAAATTTTAATATATTTTGTATGAAATAAGATTTTTAATTAATTTTTGTGTGAAATGCTATCAAAATATATAAGTCGTAATATCATAGAGAAAACAAGATGTGTTTGTGAAACACTGATGCCCCCGTATGGCAACATAGCAAAGATGTAAATTTAATTAATTGGTACAAAAAGTAGGGTATTCTCACTGGAAAACAATCGTGAAAGTATGCCAATTTTTAATTTTTTTCAATAAGTACAAAAAGCTCCAAGGTCAAGGTAATAGGTATCCAATGAAAGGTCTTGCCACATAGAATACTTATATAGAGTATGGAAGCCCTAGTCCTAACCATTCAGAAGTTATGGCCAGGTTTAACTTTTTTAACTGTAAGTCAAACTCCAAGGTCAAGGTCAAAGGGTCAAAAGTTCTTGTTATCAAATGAAAGGTCTTGTCACAAGGATTAAAGACGTGAAGTATGAAAGCACTAGCCCTAACTCTTTAAAATTAATGGTCAAGGTTTGCTTTTTTAAAGTAGGTCAAACTCAAAGGTCAATGTCAAAGGGTCAATGTACCTGGTATCCGTTGAGGAGTCTTTTCATAAGGATTACATATATGAAGTAATTGAAAGCCCTATCCCTTACCGTTCAAAAGTTATGGCCAAGGTTAAAGTTTTTTCACAGGTACAAAAATCTACAAAGTCAAGGTCAAACGGTCAAGGTTGTTGGTATCCAATGAAAGGTCTTTCAACAAGTAATACATATGTGAAGTATAAATGCCCTGGTATCTACTGTTCAAAAGATATGGTCAAAGTAAAAGTTTAAAATTTTCATGTAAAGGTGGGTCCAAGGTCAAGGTCAAAAGGTCAAATTTGATGGTACCCAAAGAAAGGTCTTGTCACAAGGAATACACTTGTGAAATATGAAAGTCATGGCTCCACTAAATCAAAAGTTATAGGCAAGGTTAAAGTTTTTGCGGACAAAGAGACAAACAGACAGACAGACGGAGGAACACGACAAAAACTATATACCCCTGAAACTTCGTTTACGTGGGCATAATAATAACTTCAAATCTGTGTCCAAGTACCTTTAAAGCGTTTGCACTTTGCAGACAAACAGACAGAGAGACAGACAGACGGACGGACACGACAAAAACTACATACCCCTGAAATTTTTCAGATATTGAAAAGCTTTCCAATGAAGAGTCAAGGTCATTAGAAGGTCAAATTACAATGAAGGAGGCAGGGGAAACACTTTTTAGGATGAAATCAAATAAATCACCTGGCTCAGATGGCTTTACCTCAGAATTTTTTAAGGTCTTTTGGAAATTTATAGGCGTTTTTGTTGTCCGATCAATTAATTATGCATATGATCATGATATCTTAAGTGTAACTCAGAGACATGGAATCATTACCTGCTTACCGAAGGGTGACAAACCTAAACACTTGTTAAAAAATTGGAGACCTATCTCTCTTTTAAACACAGTTTATAAAATTGCATCTGGTTCAATAGCAAATAGAATTAGAAGGTTTCTAGATAAAATTATACATCCTGATCAAACAGGCTTTATACAGGGCAGGCATATAGCTGAAAACATTAGACTAATCTATGACATTATGCAATACACAGAAGAAGAAAAAATACCAGGTCTTCTTCTTCTTGTTGACTTTGAAAAAGCATTTGATTCTGTCTCTTGGGCTTTTATTCAAAAATCACTTAAATTCTTTAATTTTGGAAAGTCTATGAGGAAATGGGTCAGTTTATTTTATTCAAACATTACATCAGCAGTAAATCAGGGAGGAAATTTATCTGAAACATTCTCTTTGCATCGAGGGTGTCGACAGGGAGACCCACTATCCCCATACTTATTCTTGATATGTGCTGAAATCCTTGCTATTAAGATAAGAAATAACAAAGACATCAAAGGTATATATTTTATTGATGGGGAAAAGAAAATCTCGATGCTCGCTGATGACACTTCTCTTATATTAGATGGCAGTGAGAAATCTTTACAATCAAGTTTAGGTACCCTTAGAGATTTTGCAAAAATGTCCGGCTTACATATAAATTACGATAAAACACAAGTAATATGGATAGGTAGCAAAAAAGGTAGTGATGAGGTTTTATGTAAAAATCAATCTCTTGAGTGGGGAAAGAAAAACTTTAGGTTACTTGGTATTGAATTTGATATAGATTTGCAGAAGATACTTTCGAGGAATCTCAGTTCAAAGTTAGAAAACATAAAGAAAATGATAAGACATTGGAAACATAGGAATCTCACACCACTAGGACGATTAACAGTTTTGAAAACACTTTTATTGCCAACATTGAATCATATTTTTGCCTCCCTTCCAAATCCCACTGATTTATATATAAAAGATTTAGAAAACACCTTTTATTCTTTTGTAATGGGGAGTAATGCTTTTAGACTAAAAAAAGGAGTTTGTATTAAAGATCTTAAAGATGGCGGTTTCAAGATGATTAGTATTAAAGAGTTTATTATGTCTCTGAAACTTGTTTGGATGAAAAATGTCATACTGCAAGGTAAATATTCATATCTAACTTTAGATTTAAAAAAAACAGTTTTTTGTGGAGAAGAATACATTCTCAAGAAAATTAAAGATGTAAAAAATATGTTTTGGAAAAATGTTTTAGAAGCCTGGCTATTTTTTTCTAAAAAATTACCAGAACCAGAAGCAAGTGCCTCTATGGAACCACTATTTTTTAATAAAAATATACTGATTG